ATTTTTTATTAAATTATTTATAAATATTTTATTTTAAATATTTATTTAATTAATAAAATTAAAAACTTTTATTATATTATATTTTATATTTTTTAAAATTATTTAATTAATTAAAATATTATCCTCTTTTATCTTCTAATTTTTTTCTTTGAATACTAATTCTTTCCTTTGCCTCCTTTTTCTTCTCTTTTCTTTATTAATTTTTATTCAAATATATTTGGTTTGAAGATAAAAGAAAAGAAGAGAGGGAAGAAATTCCAAAAAAATTAGAAGAAAAAGGATGGTAGGGGATAGAAGAATACAAAATAGACCAGACGTACCCTAAACCAATTGAGCCTCTTGGGGGCCAAAATCTACCACAACCACTGAAAGTTGTAACAGGACAATTATGTGGGCCGCAAAAACGAGTTTCGGCGAAATTGATGAAAATGCTAAGATGTGTTTAGGATTACCCAGACCTGGTTCTAATCTCAAATCTGTTTTTTTTTTTTTTTTGGAAAAAATTTTTTATTGTTCAAAATAAAATTCAATTTGAACACTCCCAAATGACACGATAAGAAAATTCAACTAATTAAAAGTCTTCATCCATGTCAATAAACTTCCTTTTTCCTTCCGATGATGTTGTTTAGTTTTGTTATTTTTATGAGGCAGTGTTATAAAAATAATTTTTTTATATAATTTTTAATATAATTTTTAAATATTGTTATATAAATAGATATATTTAATATTATAAATTTTATATAAATTAAAATAATTAATTATTTAAATAATATGTTAAATTATATTAAAATATAATATAAAAAATTATCTCAAAATCACTTCGGTTATTTTTATTCCGACTTTGATTCTCTAGAGTCCAATTCAGCATAAAGGTCCTTCCATCCTTGCAAGAATACGAAACAAGAAATTGAAATTCTATATTTACCCAACTTATGGTGGAAAAAAGGGTGTACCTGTGAAAGGTTTTGGCATCCCTGTACATGGGACCAATGGGCACGTAATCAGGGTCCAGTAGCTGATTCGCATTCCTAGCTTCTTTTATGGCAGCTCGAGCTCGAAGTAGACTGGCTTCTAGCCTGTCCAAACTAGTAGGCACTCTTGGTTTACTTGGTTTCAAGGGAGGAGCAATAGATTGGTCTGTAGATGTGGTCATGTCTGGCAATCCAATCGGCACGACATTTACTATCTCTTTCTTAATTGTCTCGTTCTGCTGAAACTGATCCAAGATTAGAGCTATCCCCTCACGAAGGCCAGCTTAATTAAATCAATTTGTAAAAAGTCAATGCAATAAAAACTATTTCTAGAGTTATTATTATTATTTCTTTGGTAGTTCAAAGTGTTTCAAAATTAACTTTAAGATCATTTTCTCATTATATGACATTATGACATTAAGAATGCACTAAATATTAATGTGGTGCTTACCCCTTAAATATGTGATAATACCTGCTTACCAACCCTTGGGTTAAGATGGAGTAATTGATTAATTTGTTCAATTAAAATGTGATTACATGTGGGGACACAGCTAGGAATTAAGGATTAAATTATTTTCCAGGTTATGCCTTGTTCCTTAAGTAGTTTCTCCCTTTAAAATCGATGATGTCCAAACCCTAATAACACATGCTGTTGGGCAAAAAAAAAAAAAAATGTTAATCTACATTTCCCTTTCACTAAAATTGCAAAAAATAAAAAAATAAAAAAAAAAATAAAATATTGCCTCTCCCCAAAATAGGCAAATTAAGGGGGAAAAAAAAGATTAAAAAAACAAAAACTTTTACTTTTTCAAGAATTTGCAAACTAAGTCTCTAAACTCAAGTTTGATGCAAGAGAGAGAACATGTACTCATTCGGTTGTGGCATTTTTAACTCTTTTCCAAAGTTACAGATTTTAACCCATACATAATTAAATTTAATTGTAGGGGCTCAATTTAATTTTCCGTTAAAATGATTAAAATGATGAAGTCGTAGAAAAAGAACTAAAATGTCACGACCCAACGAGTATATGAACTTGTTTGCATCAAACTTGAGTTTAGCGGCTTTTTGATATATTTAAAAAATACAGGGGTTTTTTCACTGATAAAAAATATAGATAACTAACCACTTTTTTTCCTTTAATAAAAATACAAAGAATAGTAGTGATATTTTCAATTAAAAAAGCTTTTTCTTTTTTTTACCATTCACCCTGAAAAGAAATATCAGCTAGGTGTAAAGAAAAAGGATAAAAGCACTTTTATGCATAAAATTTTTTAATAGTATTTTTCTCAGAAAAGATATTTTATATGGAGAGTTTACCTACTTCATCTTTCTCATGATAATAACTATTTTTTACATTTAAAAAAAAAATAAGAACTTAAGGGTATTTATATATTTATTTATACTATAAAAAATTAAAAGAATAAATAAATTTTTTTTATAATATGATAATTAATCAAAATAAATTAACAATAATAGAATTAAATTTTTAAAAAATATTTTTATTTTTAAAAAATAAAAAATAATAGTTAATTTAAGATAAATTTAAAATCTAAAAACAACAAATTATTTTAAAATAAAAAAGAGCATAAAATATCTCTCTTTTTAAAAATAATAATAATTCTATTTAAAAAACTAAGATGCGGAGTGTGACAATCTTGTCCATATATTATCCATGATAGCAAAAGTCGAACTCAAGAAAAAGAAAGCAACTTACCACTCCAACCCTGACGTTCTCAACCGCGTGGGTTGGTCGACCTGCCGCACGGCTCATCACAGCCTCGGCCAAGAGAGCTTCTCCAACACCGTGAACATCCACCGCCACCACCCTATGATAACTCAGATCATGATCAACTGGCTGCCCTCCACCTCCTTCTACTTGTGCATGCAAAGTCTCACTAGTGTTCAAAGAAGGTGAAGACGGGGAAAGATCAGACATCGAAAGATTCGAAACCCAACTGGAGCTCTTCGGAACCAAATCGGAAGCAAAGAACGATAAAAGAATCATAGGGACAATAATCACAATACACCACAGAGTTTTCATGGATGAACTACATGCAAACCAATTTTTGTTGCCATCTACCATTTTTTTCTCGGGAAATGAATCTCTCTAGCTGTTTTTTTGCTGTGAAAAGAAAATCACTTGGGAATCTTCTTTTCTGTAGATTGAAGTTGGAAGTCAAGAGATAGAGATTTAGGGGTTTGGGAAGAAAACAGATGGAAATAAATTGGTTGCAGAATCATGCCAAACGTCCTCTTATCATTCCCTCTTTACTCGACTTCTTCATGCAAATTTTCAAGTTTCTCGATTTTGCCCCAACTCCAATTACGGATTCGATATAATCCTATAGTTACGATATGGACACCTTGGAGGGCCCTTCTTGCAAGGTCGTGTACTACTGAGTTAGCACTACGGCAAACGTGCTACAGCGGCAGATGGTAAAGGAGGCCATTAGGTGCTTACAGTCTAGAAGAATATTGTCAAAACTAGAATTCAAGAATTGAGTGTCATTGTCAATTGCCGTGCCTATGCTTGCACAGTCTACTTCAATGAAAATCCTGTTGAGCATAAAATGCTTAGTCCATTCACATTAACTTTTTATGCATTTGAGAAAAAAATTAATTATATAATAATACATAATATTATAAACTTATAACATTAAATTATAATTATGCAGCTAATCTTTTAAGTTAAGTGGTATTAATCACATTGAAAATGTGCATTCTCCCCTCTCTTGAAGTTGATCCCCTCTTATGTTAACATGTTAAAAAAAAAAACATTATAATTATATTATTTTTTCTTCCTAATTAATTCTCTCCGCAAAGACTGTACTTATTATCTTTTTCAACATTATTATTTTTTATTTTATAAACACAAGGATAAAACTTAAACCATACCTCTATTAACATAAAAAAGAGCTCTGAACTTAAGTACGCATTTTTCCCACTCAATATTTAATCATTTCTTTTTGGATAAAATTTAGTTGGTTTTTTTTTTTTTTTTTTTTTTTTTTTGTAGAAAGCATTGGCCAAAAGAATCTTTTTTGGATACAGTTAAAATACTTATCCAATTAGATATGAGATATATGCATATCCGATACGCATCCAGATGTGCGTTTCAACTTTTAATGGGCTCATAATTTAATGACCGAAATTGCGATGTAGCCTAGTCCAAGATATTTGGGCCCTATTATAAGAGTAAGCAAGACCGACGGTTGGCGCCTGCGAAGTTTGCCGATGGCAGCCGTTATCCATCCCCAATAT